GCAACAAGAGAGACTGAGGGGCCTGCTGGTTTGGGTAAAACCCCAGTGGTCTGAACGGGGGTGGGTACCAGGCTTTGAATGTCCTGCAGGCTGCCTTGCTCAGGTAAAGTGGCAGTTGGAAGGCAGGTGTCTGGGAATTCTTGCTGCCCCAACACAGGTGTGGATTTGGGGGCCTGTGTGTCTGTAAGGCCGTGCTCTCGAGGCAGTGGTGTGGCAGGGGAGCCCTGGAAGGCTGGAGGGTTACCCTGTTTGGGCAAAGACGGCAGGGCTTGGACTTGGATGTCCATGAGGCCTTGTGGCTGGGGCAAAGGGGTGGCAGCTGGAACCTGAACGTCTAAGAGGTCTTGAGGCAAAGACAGCAGAGAGCGCACTGGAACCTGACAGTCCAGGAACCCTCCACAGGCAGGCAGAGGTGAGGCACCTGGAACAGAAATGTCTGGGAAGTCACATGACAAGGACAGAGGGCTGCCGGCTGGGATCTGATGGTCCAGGCTGCTTCTGCGCCTCTGCATAGGGTTGATGCCTTGGCCAGAGAGAGTGGCAGGGCACTGGTCGTCCCTGGAGCCTCCTTCCTCTGCTCCTGGGATGTTGCTTGGGCTCTGGCTGTCTCGATGGCTTTCTTGTTTGGATAAAGGGGTGATGGCTGAAACCATGAGCTCAGAACAGCTCCTCTGCTTGGGCATCGCTGGAGTGGGTGAAATCTGGGCATCTACATGGCACCCTTGGTCAGAAGAGCAGGTGAGAGATGAAACCTGTACATCCACGTCACATTTATGCTCAGGCACAAGAGCGGCAGCTGGAACTCGGATCTGCAGGTGGCTTTGATCGGGCAAAGTTGAAACAGATGGAAGCTGGATGTCTGGAGGGGCCTCTTGCTTGGGTGACATATCTGGGGCCGGGGGATTCTGGAGGGCTCCTTGCTCGGGCAAATCTGAAACATTTAGACTCTGGTCATCCAGGTGGCCTCTCTGCTTAGTCAAGGGTACAGCAGCTTGAATCCGGGCAACAGGGCCCAGGGGGACAGACTGCTGGGCACAGGCCAGCGGGAAGGCCAGCTCACACACCAGCACATGTCCGAAGCCAGGAAGGGGCCCTGTGTGCAGAGAAAAGCGGTTCGAGTGAGTGCCGATGCCCCAGCCTCAGCTGCCTCTGCCCACCATGTACCCTGAGCTCACCAGGCTCAGCCTGCTCCTGGGGCGGGCAGGGGGTCGGCTGGGGCTGGGCCAGGACCCGTGGCCTGCGGCGGGGGGCATTGGCAAAAAAGTGTCTCGGCCCTCTGCATCTGCTGGATCCGCTCGCTGTAAAGCCGGGCCAGTTCTCGCACACGAGACGCCGCCCGCTCCGAATTTGGGGCTCCTGCCCTTCCACTTCCACTGATTCCACCCAGATCCGAGTCCTCCAGGATCAGCAGTGGCTCTGGGAAGCCCGGCCGGGCCAGCTGCCCCTGCTCCAAAGCCTGCCAGGCACTCCGGATTTCAGAGCAAGAGCGGAATTCCAGCTCACCCGGGAGCCCCTGAGCTTGGGCGATATCCTGGGGCTGGAAATCTGAGAATGACACCCCTTCTCCCTCCTCAGCCTGCCCAACCCTGCTTCCTGAAGTGGGCTCCCCCAGTTTTCCAGCATTGCTTCCAGGGAATAGTTCTCTCCTGGCGGGCAGTGCCTCAGCTGGCTCCTGCAGAGGTCCAGGGAGCCAGGGGTCACAGGGGAGTGGGGGAGAATCAGAAAGACAGGGCGTATCAGGCACATCAGGCATGGCCGGAAGGTAGGGCATTTCAAAAACACTAGGAACGTCAGAGAGACTGGGGAGGTGGGGAGCTTCGGAAATTTCAGGGAGGTTGGACACGTCAGGAATCTCGGTGAGGCTGGGAATGCCGGGAATTTCGGCCGCACTGGAACTGTCAAGCCCTTCTAAGACATGGAGAGGGGAAGGCTCCCGTTCATCCATCTCCAGCTCTTCCTCCTCCTCTTCTTCTGAAGACTCTCGGCTGGGCAGGGCTTGGAATGTGAGGGTTTCGCTGTCAGCTGGCACCTGGGAGTCTCCAGGGAACGTGGGAATGTCACTGGTGGCTGGCTGTCGGGGGCAGAGAAAGAAGCCAGATACCAGGGTGGCCTGCCCAACCTGCTCCCTGCTCGCTGCCTGCTGGAGCCTGGAGCCCCAAGAATGCTGTGCCGGGATGCCCAACTCACCCCTGGATCCCGAAGGCCTCTCTGGTTCAGCAGTTCCAGGATTTCTTCAGTGATTGAGGTTCCCGAGGGGTCCAGCGTGGGGGGCCCAGCATCCTCCAGGTCTTCAGGGGGTACAGAAGCTGACACTGGTGGCTGTGCTTCGGAGGGGGCATAGAGCTCCCCTTCACTGCCAGCATGCTGTGCGGAGAAGGGAGGGGGTGAAAGCAAGAAGCAGGAGGGCCCATCCCCCACTTTCCTGACCAGATGGGGGGATCTGAGCCTCAATCCCCCCACTTTTTTGTTTTTTGCAATACGGTGATTATTAAACTTAGTCTCTCATATGCTACCCCACTAAGCTACACCTCTAGCTATTTTTTTAGTAGTGGGGATAGAACTGACAGCCTTCACAGTTATATGCCCAGCCCATTTTTCATTTTTTATTTTGAGACAGGGTCTTACTAAGTCACTCAGGTGCCTAGGTGGGGCTTAATACTGAGCTCTTCCTGACTCAGCCTCCTAAGTAGCTGGGATTACAGGCATGTGGCACTGCACCCAGCATAATCCTTTCTTTTTCTTTTTTGAGATCGGGTCTTGCTAGGTAGTTCAGGCTGGCCTCAAACTCATGGTGATCCTCCTGCCTCAGCCTCCCATGTAGCTGGGATTACAGGAGTGTGCCACTATACCCAACCCAATCCTCTTTCTTATTCAAACCTAGAAATTTGGGCATATACGCTTCCTTCTCCAACAGACCCAAGAGTCCAGGTTCTTGGACCCTGCTCAGGCCATTTCTTACCTTGAATATAGGCTTAGCTGGGGACAGATAGAGAGAAAAAAATCAGTGAGACATAGGAGTATGAGTGATTCCCTATAACTCATGAGCTGCCTCATCCCCTCCCCATCCACCCTGGGGAAGGACAGACAGACAGACAGGAGCCAGTCACTGACCGTTCTGTGGAAACCTGACAAAAGAGTCCTTCACTGGTTCTGGGGAGGACAGAGTTACGTCAGCAGCCCACATCGCCCGAGGGCCGGGCTCACCTGTGGGCAGTAAACTCACCAGACTGCCTGCGTCCACGGCGGCTGCCAGAGGCTCCCGGAGACGGTGCTGCAGGAGGCAGGTGACAAGGGGTCAGGAGCTCAGCTCCAGGTGCTGGGGGAGAGGGGGGACATGCTCAGCACCCCATCTCATTTACCTGTGTTCCTCCAGCCAGGGGTGAAACTTTTAGTATCTTGAGGTCGGGGAGACCCAAGTGGGGGTGTCGGGGGCTCTGAGATAGGCTTACTTTTTGGAGCACCTGTGGGGAGAGTTTTGGGGCTAACAATCTACTTTTCCCTGGAAGTTAGTTCTTCTGCATCCTCCCAGCCCAAGACCAACTCACAGTGCAGGCTGTTTTCAAGGAGGACTTGTTTTGCCTGAAACAGACAAGGATGAGGTTTTGGGGGAGCTGGCCCCAAGCACCACAGCCATTCTCACGAATGGGCACTTCTACACGTCAGGCCCATGCTTTGGCTTACAACCACCACCCTGACCACTGCCCTAGGAGCCAGGCATTATCTTTCCTCCAGGTGAGGAAGTTAAGGACCAGAGAGGTTAAGTTACTTGCCCAAGGTCACAAAGCAGAAAGAGTGGTAGAGCTGGGGTTCATACTCAGATAGCACAATTCTGCACTTTAAGCAATCATGTTTCAAAAACGTGTCTGTGTACTCAAAGGGTCTTCTATTGGGGGGGGTCCTCTAGTACCCCACCTCCTGCATTGAGGTAGGAGCTATACCTTGGCTGGGATGGAGGCAGGATGGTTCTCAAAGAAAAGGCGCTGGAGACAGTGAACCCACAGTCTCTTCTCTTCTTGGTTCTTGGCCTGGGGGGTGAGTGCGGTGGATGGACTCAGGGAGCCAGGATCTGGTCCAGGGTCGGGGGATCCACCGGGCCAGCCCCACCTGTGCTCACCTGAAGCAGGTGCCTGTGCTTGGGAATGGTCAGATCAGACACCTTGAACCCTAGAGGGTCTCGAGGACTCTCGCTCACACTCAGGTTGCAGCACTGAGGGAGAGGACGGAGGGCAGCAAGCACAGAGGCTCAGCCATGAGGTCCATCCGGGTTGCTGCCCACTAAGACACACTGTAAGACTGTTCCCCACCAGCAGGGCTCTGCTTCTCCCTCACCACACTCTTCCTCCCCTCACGAAGAAGGCCCTGCTGCTCCCCATGAAGACACTGCCTGGTGGGCACGTCCAGCTCTTCCCTGCAGGCCTCAAACCCACCCCTTAATTCTTTACTTTTTCTTTGCAGTGCTGAGGATTGAGCCCAGAACCTCACACATGCGAGGCAAGCACTGCACCACTGATCGACATCCCCAGCATCTTGGCACCCTCTTTTGAAGCAAGGTCTTGCTAAATTCCCCACATTGGACAAAATTCCTTATCCTCCCATCTCAGCCTCCCAGACTGCTGGGATGACAGGTGTGCAATACCACACATGGCCTTACCCCTATTCTTTAAGACAGGGTCCTCACTATGTAGCCTAGGCTGGCCTTGAATTCATGGCAATCCTCCTGTCTCAGCCACTCAACTGCTGGGATTACAGGTATTCAATTAACCCAGGCTTAACCCTATTCTTTTTTTTTTTTTTTTTTTTCCTCCTGGTACCAGGGCTCAAACTCAGGACCCTGCGCTCACGAGGCAGACAAGGTGCCACTGAACTAAATCCCTGGCCTCCTTTACCCCATTCTTAAACTTAAGAAATTGTGACCCTTTCGAGCCAGGCTGTCCCTGGTCCATCTCGTTAGGTGCAGCGCATAAATGTAAGAATGCACCTTGTATGTAACAATCTAGCCGCACCCCATCCCCAAACTCACAAAGATATGGCCCTTGTACGCGTATTCGGGCCCCCGGCGCTTGGCCACAAGCAGCATCCGTGAGAACAGGAAGAGCAGCCGCTCACCCCCTCGAAGCCGGGGGCCGCCCCCTCCGCCACCTCGGAATGCACCCTCCAGCACCAGCTCCCCAAAAGCACTGAGCTCTGGGCCGGTCCAACCTCCCAGCCGCCGCTGCACCTCCTGCAGGGACCCCGCCAGGTGCAGAGACGGGCACGGGCGGGTGGGGTGGCACACACAAACAGGACAAGAGGGGGGTTGGCAACAGGGACATCCCAGGCCTTGAAGCACTGCCCCATCCCCCTCATGGCCCCGAGAAGCCGGCCTCGTCTCCCACCCCACCCTGGGCCACCTGGAGGCGTGCTGCATGCTCCTGCTTGCGCTTCATGTCATTGATGTACCAAGCGACTGCTGTCATGGACACAATGGCTTCCTCCACCATCTCACGGCCTCCAGCGCCCGGGCCCTCTGCCCAGTGCTTGCCTAGTTCCTGCCGGCAGCACCAAACATATAGGGTGGAGAGGAAGAGGGAGGAAAGGAAAGAGAGAATGAGAGGGGCAGGAGACAGAGGCATGTGCAGGAAGTGGCGGAGATGGTGGCATCCAGGGTGCCAGTCCCCTTCTGCCAGCAAGACCCGACAGCTGGCCCAGATGGCTTCCCAGGGGTACAGGATAGCAGAGAAACGCAGATGACTCCTCAGGCCTGCAGTGACTACTCTTGGGCCCCCTCTTGAAGTAACAGCAGGTGGCTGAGGTGTGGGGCTCCACCCACCCCACTCCCAGCGAGGCCTCCAGGGCCCAAAGCTGACCTGCAGGAGCAGATGGTACTTGAGGATGCGCTGAACGGGTTTCAGCAGGAAGCTCTGCAGGGGCAGTGAGTGACGAAGCTGGGCCTGGCGCTCCTGCAGCCACAGGGCTGCCGGCGGGGACAGCGACAGCTCCCGGAGCAGGGCCAGGGAGCTGGGGGCACAGTATGGATCAGCAGGGGCTGGGAGCTCCAGTGGGTAGGGCTGGGAGGGGCCCGCGAGTGGCCAGGGTTTGGAGGCAGTCAGGGTCTGGCGGGGTTGGGGGAGTGAGGGAGAGGTCAGTTAGCATCCCAGTGTGGCAGGGATGACACAGGGCAGGTGGCAGGGCAGAGGAGGGAGGGCTGGCACACCAGCTGGGGTCCAGCGGGCACCCCGCCCCTCACCTCGGGTAGTTCATGCAGTATAATGTGTAGATGTCAAAATCCTCGCTCTGCGGGGGACATGGCAGTCAGAGAGACCCCAGGTCCTTGCACAGCAGGCCTGCTGTCCCCTAGCCAGGCCACCCCCACTTGCTCACCCTCTGCACAAAGCACTCAGCGATGCCCCCGGCGCTGCTGCTGCCCTCCAGGTCCTCCAAGAGCTCGCTGTGGGGGACAGAGCATGAGCACTTGCCCTGCCTCCACATCCCCCCAGGGGAGGCCTCTGGGAGATGTCCCAACAGCCTGTGGGGCTGGGGACTCAGTGACCGCTAGGCTCCTTAGAGAGAAGCCACATCCTGAACAAAGATCTCTGGTGGCTACATGGGAGACCAAAACCGTTAGGACTGTTTCCTTGGACAGCTTCGGATTCCCTCAACCTGCAAACCTGTCACAGCTGGCGGGAACTGGAGTGAGGGGACAGTCTGGCCCACAAAGGGCGTGATCTTTAGCCTCAGGGGTGATCTTGAGATCTGCTGAGACCTCCTAGAGGAACTCGGAGCATGACGATCCCTGACAGACACATCACAGTGACCAACCATCCTGGCTTGTTCAAGACCAGTGTCCCAGATGAGGGACAAGTAGTGCTAAAGTTGGAATGTCCTGGGCAAATCAGGACAAGGTGGTCAAACACAAATGTTTCACATGGTCACGACCTGGGGATGCTACGTGACCCTCAGATTCATCCTGAGCCCAGACCTGCTACAGCAGAGACTCCATCCTGCTGCCAGGCCCTGTCCCGATCTGCACACTTAAGAGTCCTGTCATTTGCACCATGATCCCTGCCTGAGGTCACCATGCCCCGGGACCAGCCTGGAGAGGGCACTAAAAGATTCCAAGGTTTGCTTGCTTTTTGTAGCGGGGTCGAACCCAGAGCCTTCACACAGCCATATCCCTGGCCTTTTTTAAATTTTTCGAGGCAGGACCTTGTCAAGTCACTAAGTTGCGCAGGCTGGGCTTGAACTTGTGATCCTCCTTCCTCAGCTTCCCAGTGTGCACCATTGTGCCCAGTGGGGTTCCAGGGTTTAAGTTATGACACAGCCCCTTGAGCCCCAAGTGGCCAGCACCCATTCCTGTCCCACCTGCTCCTAACCTGCTGAACTCGTAGATGTCCTCGATGTTGGCAAACAACGTGCCCACCTGCTCCACGCTCAGCCCCAGGACACCGCCGTCCAGCAGAGGGCCCAGGTAGTCCTGCAGGGATGACTGGGTCACCAGGGCTGGGCTGCGCCTGCCCCCACTGCCCTCGAGCACCTGCCTGCCTCACCTCCACGATGCTTCGGAGGTCTCGGACATAGGCCCGCTCTGTCTCCACGATCTCCCGGGCCACACGCTCCAGCCTTGAGGGTTTTGCCGAACCAGGGATCCCAACAGGCGACAGATGCAGGCGGATAGGGGGCCCTGGCAGGGGCTCTGGTCTGGAGGCTGAGCAGGCTGGGGTGGGCCCAGGGGCTGGGTCCCCTTCAGAGCCCACTGTGCTCAGGGATGTGGAGCTCCCAGAACCTCGGGGGGAGGCCATGGTGGGCACTGTGGGATGCGGAGCAGGTCAAGTTCCCTGTCCCACCGCCTCTGTACCTCCACACCTCCACACCCAGCGAACCACCTTCGCACAGGCTCCCACCTCTTTCCTATTGTACTCCTTGGTCCAATCCTGTCCTCTTCCATCAGGGCTCTCCCTGGACTTCAGCCCTCTAATTCACCTCCTTGCATCAACAAGGGAGATCTTTATTAGTCTGCCCACCTGACTCTGTCATCCCTAGGAGCACAACCCATTCAGGCTAACGTCCAAACTCCTCAAATCAGTGCAGTGTGACCGTGGCCTATCTCTCCAGCTAGCTGTCCTTTCATCACCTCATTTTAGCTCCTTACACTCCGGTCACACTCAACTTCTCTCAATTACCTAAACAGCGGGTCTTGGTCTTTGCACACAGTGTTGCATGGACGTAGAATACTCTTCTTGTCTTTGCCAAGCTCCTTGAAGCCTGACCTGTCAGGGCCGGCTCTCAAGCTCTGGGATCTTTACCCTCAGAGACCCTCTGGACTGTCACTAACTGGGAACGGGTCAGCTTGGGGCTCTCAGGGTTGGACTAGGCCGTCACCCTGCATCACCAGCACCGCACAGCCCCAGAGGGTCTCCGGGCACCTTGAAGAAAAGACCAAATGCCCACAGGCTCCACCCCTGCCTTGGTGGCTCACCTGTCCGAGTCCCACACACAGCTGGGCAGTCACAGGCTTCGCCTCTGTGGCCACACCCGAGGCTGGGTTTGGACAAGCTCTGTCTGCGGGCTCCTTCAGGCATGGCTGAGTGGCACGGCAGCCACCTGCAGAAAGTCCCCTTGTTGGGTACAGGACCCACAGACCTTCTTGCTGCCCAGACTCACAGGGTGCTGGGAAATAGGAGGCCCGTCTGAATCCAAGGAGGGGAAGGACACCCCCACCCCCGAGAGGCACTAACGGGGATGGGGGACACACAGGTAACGTGACAGGAAGAGGGGTACGAGCAAAGAACCTAGAAAAGAAGACAGAAAGGTTGAGACAAAGAGGATCGAGGAGAGCAAGTCTCAGAAGCTAAAAATCCTGCGTGCTGGGCCCCAGGCTCAGGGATCCTGGGAACGTCTGCCCTCCGGCTGGAGCGGAGGGCGAGGGGCAGGGCTGGGAAAAGCTGTGGGCGGGAGGCCGCGGGGTCCCAGGGGAGGGCGGAGGCTGGGGGACCGGATGCCAGGGTCCTGCAGACGGCTCCCTC